GTCGCACTAATTGAGCATTTCTTTCTACTTTCCTGACTGGGCAGTCCCTCAGGGCAGGGGGTTAGAGTTTTCTAATTGTAGTTCCGCACCAGACAGGGAATTAGACCCCATCCCCCACCCCTGGCTTGTTCACAGCCAGAGGAGCGGAGGGGCAGAAGGCCCAGTTGGAACAGTGACCGAAGGGCTGTTCTTCAGCCTGAGCACCAGGGCCAGAACTCTGGGCTCTGTTAGATTTGGAGCCTAGTGGGGCCTAACTGGTCTCCACCTCGCTGAGTCTGGTCTTAGGAAGAAGAGCTTTCACCCAAGGGTAGCCCCAGGCCAGAGGGGGAGGGGAGGGGACTGACAAAGCATGAGTCCTGTTGAGGTTTGGTTCCTTCCCACCCCACCTCTGATAACCCCAGCAGCCTGGGTTCCTTGTGCCTAAGAACCCCACCCCACCCGACCCCTGGCCAGCGCAGGGCCAGAAGCCTCTAACTCCCCTGTACCCCTCGAGCCCACATCTCCTTCCCTCTCTGGAGAAGGGGCCCTGGGCCTGCCTTACCAAGGACCAAATGGGGTCTGCCAAGGCCCCTCCCCCAAGGGTAGCACCGGCCTCGCTGAGCAGGCTGGGCTTCCAACACCCTGCCCACTTTCTCCTCTCTGAGCTGTGACCCAAATGGGCTCTTTCTATGAGCCCCCTCCCACCCTCTGTCACCCACACCACCATCCTCAGGGGTCTCAGAACCCCACCAGCCTCAGGCTCAGCTGCCAGTGTCCCAGCTCTCCCAGGAAGAGAGGGGGCAGATGGCTGCCCAAGCTGAGGTGGTAGATGTTCATGGACGCGTGCCCACTAGGCTTGGGGGTTCTTCCCTTCCAGCTCCCAGTCCCCCAGGGCACTGGGAGCAGGGACACTGCTAGGGAAGGCCAGCAGCTTGTCCCCTCACACAGACTAGGATGGGGCTGTGGAGCTCCCAAAGGAGCCCAACGTAGCCTGGAGACACCTCCTCCTGGGCTCATGTTTCCTTCCCAAAGTTAGGAGGAGGCGAGGCTGCTGTGGGAAATGGTACTGTACAGCCGGCTCTGTCCCCTCTACTTTCCTGCAGCCCTGAGCAAGCAGGTTTGACACCCAGAATCCCCTGGGCCCCTGGGGGGAGGGGCTTCTCATGGGCTGGCTCCCAGTGCGGGTCCAGCTGCTTCTTCCCCCTCTCCATCCTCAGAACCACCGGAGAGCCAGCCAAGGGGGGCGGGAGGGGGTCATTGTCCACCCCCATACGTTTCTTTCTGTAAATAATCTGCACTGATTAAACTGTACAGCCGGCGAGTCCGCCTCCTTTGTAAGAGGCCTTGGGCTGGATGGAGCTTACAGCTGGAGGGGCAGGTGTCCAGGCTGGGATTAGGGGACTTGCCCCCTACACCAAAGAGACCTGGTTCCCAGTTCTGTGGCCCTGGGAGGAGCAGATATCTGGGGAAGAGTGGGAGATGGCTGCCCAAAATAGATCAGAGGAAGGTGAGGCAGGAGATGGGGTTGGGGGGCTGCTGTGGCTAGGCAGAGAAGGGGTAGGGGATATACTGATCATTCATTCATGGTGAGAAAGGGCAACTCAGCTTCCCCTACACCCTTGCACATCTAGGAAGGATGGGAGAGAACCAGTCCAAGCCCCTCAGCCCTCCCACACCTGTCCAGACTGGTTCTGGGCAGCCTGAAGACCCAGCTTGGACTGGAGAGAGATGGAAAATGATGCCACTTTGAATTCCAAAAGTTCTCCTCACCATATGCTCTGCTCAGAGGGTGAGGGGACACCCAAGATCTACCTTCTTATCTTTGAAGAAGCAGAAAATCTCACCCTGGGCAGGGGACAGGTGATGCCCAGGAAAGCAGGAGACAGGTGTCACTGACCCTTGAGTCTGAGCACTGGTGAGCCTTGGTCACCACGTCAGACCTCTGGACCCAGCCTGTTGGGTGCTGGCCTGCGCACCCAGGAATGTGATGCTCACCCACGGAGCAGGCCAGGCCCCCGCAGCTTCTTGGGCAGGGTCTTGCAACCTGCTCCAGGCCCCACCCTTCCCCTCAGCTGCGCACCCCATCCCCAGCCCTCTTCATCCCGCCCTTTCCTCTCTTTGTGTTGAAAACTGGCTGAGGAGAGTAGGAAATACTGGCCATCAGAAGCCCCAGAGGCCTCTCAGGCACAGCTAGGAAATGGCCTGGGGGCTCCCCCAACCCTAGGGGCTTTGGTGGGAGGCATGGAGTGGGTGGGGGAGGGGGGCAGGCGGACACCATCAGAAGCCCCAGGACCCCACCGGGTCTGACTCCTGCCTGAAGCCTTAGGGTCACCCAGAGGCCCAGAGGCCCACGGGGAAGGTGGAGGACGGTGTGGGGGCACAGGGACAAGAAAGGACAGGATGAAAGGACTTCTGGTTGAGCTCTTCCTCAGAGCCCAGCCAGAGGAGAGACTTGGCAGAGGCCTCACCTCCTCAGGAAACTGCCGGAGGAGGCTTCCACCCCCAAGCTCTCTGGTAGAATCTCAAAGAAACCCAGTGGCTGAAGGAACAGCCTATCTCAAGAGCCCTATTTATTCTCGCTTGAGGACCCAGATGTGTGAGGGTCTCTGAGGGAGGAGAGGAGGGTGAAGCACCTGCCTCCCCCATCCCCAGACAGCCCAGCAGCCCCAGTGACCCCCACCTCTCCTCCCCAGGATTAAACAGGAGCCCATATCCTTACAGTGTTTTTGTTTTTTTAATCAAGTTGTAACCTAAACTCACCTTGGGCTCCTGCCAGCCCCCATT